GTTTTATGGCCCAATATGTGATCTATCCTGGAGAATGTTCCATGTACTTTTGAAAGGAATATGTATTTTGTAGTTTTTGGATGGAATGTTCTGTATATATCCACTAAGTCCATCTAGTCTAATGCGCCATTTAAGGCCAATGTTTCCTTATTGATCTTCCTTATGGATGATCTATCCATTGATGTAAGTGGAGTGTTAAAGTTCCCTACTATTATTGTGTTACTTGCTATTTCTCCTTTTATGTCTGTTAATAATTGCTTTGTATATTTAGAAGCTCCTGTGCTGGGTGCACAGATATTTACAAGTGTTATGTCCTCTTGTTGGATTGTTCCCTTTATCGTTATGCAATGCCCTTCTTTGTCTCTTGATGCAGTTTTTGTTTTAAGGTCTATTTTGTCTGATACAAATATTGCTACCCCCAGCTTTCTTTTCATTGCCACTTGCATGGAGTATCTTTTTGCATCCCTTCACTTTCAGTTTCTGAGTGTTTTTAGGTTTGAAGTGTGTCTTTTATGTGCCACATATATATGGGTCTTGCTTTCTTATCCATTCAGCCACCCAATGTCTTTTGATTGGAGCATTTAATTCATTGACATTTAAAGTAGCTATTGATAAATATGTACTTATTGCCATTTTGTTACTTTTTTCTGGATGTTTTAGTAGTTCTTCTCTGATCTTTTCTTCTCTTGCTCTCTTCCTTTGTGATTCGATGTTTTTCTTTAGTATTATGTTTGGATTCTTTTCTCTTAATTTTTTGTGCATTTATAACAAGTTTCTGGTTTGTGATTTCCATGAGGTTTATATATAATAACCTACATACATAGCAATCTCTATTAAGTTGATGATCTCTTAAGTTTGACTTCTTACTAAAAGCCCTACACTTTTACTCCACTCCTCCCACATTTTATGCTTTTGATATCACATTTAACCTCTTTGTGTGTGTGTGTGTGTGTGTCCTTTAACTTCTCATCTTGGAGGTAGATATTTTTAGTACTTTTGTCTTTTGGCTTCATATTGGCTTGTAAGTGGTTGATCTGCTACCTTTACTGTATATTTGCTTTTCTAGCGATTTTTTTCTTTGCTAATTTTCATATTTCTATGTGTGGTCTTTTCTTTTCCACTTAAGTCCCTTTAACATTTCTTGTAAGGCTTATTTATTGATAATAAACTCCTTTAATTTGTACTTGTCTGGGAAACTCTTTATCTCTCCTTCCATTTTGAATGATAACCTTGCCAGGTAGAGTGTACTTGGCTTTAGGGTTTTTTTCCTTTCAGCATTTTGAATATATCATGCCATATTGGGCCACTCCTTTCTAGCCTGTAAGGTTTCTGCTGAGAAGTCAGCTGATAGCCTTATGGGGTTTCCTTTGTATGTCACATGTTGCATTTCTCTGATAGCTTTTAGGATTCTCTCTTTATCTTTAATTCTTGACATTTTAATTATAATGTGTCTTGATGTAGGCCTCTTTGGATTCATCTTGTTTGATGCTCTCTGTGCTTCTTATACCTGGATGTCTGTTCTTTTACTTAGGTTAGGAAAGTTTTCAGCTATTATTTCTTCAGACAGGTTCTCTGCCCTTTTGTCTCTCTCTTCTCCTTCTGAGACACCTGTAATATGGATGTTAGTGTGCTTGATGTTGTCCCAGAGTTACCTTAGACTGTCCGTGTTCTTTTTAATTATTTTTTCTTTTTTCTGTTCACTTTGGGTGATTTCCTCTACTCTTTTGTCAAGCTCACTGATCCATTCTTCTGCGTCATCTACTCTGCTGTTGATTCCCTCTGGTTAATTTTTCATTTCCATTATTATATTCTTCAGTTCTGATTGGTTGTTTTTTTATATTTTCCAATTCTTTGTTGAATTTCTCACTGTGTTCATCTTTTCTTCTCCCAAGATCAGTGAGCATCCTTATGACTGTTAGTTTGTACTCTTTATCAGGTAGATTGTTTATCTCTTTTTCGTTTAGTTCTTTTTCTGAGAATGTGTCCTGTTCCCTTACTTGGAACATATTCCTTTGTCTCTTCATTTTTCCTCCTTCTCTGTGCTTTTATCTGCGTATGAGGTAGATCAGCTATGTCTCCCAATCTAGGAGATGTGGCCTTATGTAAGGGATGCCTTATGGGGCCTAGCAATGTGCTTCCTTCTCATCACCAGTTCCAAATGTTCCAAGAGTGTCCCTTGTGTGGGCTACGTGTGCCCTTCTGTTGTGGCAGGGTTGTTCTTGCTGCAGGCACATGGGTTAGGCTAGACTGGGCCCCCTGGCCAGCTGGTTGTAAGACTCAGCCACACGTGGCTGCTACAGTCACTTTAGTCATTTTATTGGGCAGGGGGAGCCCCAGCATGGCTGGCTACAAGGTCTAATAGCACATACCTGCTTCTGTTTTCCTGTTAAGTGAGTAGGCCCCCAGGGTGGCTGGTTGCTAGGCTTAGGAGCTCACAATTACTGTAGGCCTCTGGCCTGCAAGGCTGTTGTCAGCTGTCTCAGGATTGTAGCTTTGTGGGTCCTGCCCCAAGCTTGACAGCACACAATTGTTTCTGGTATTGGAAGGTGAGGCAGATCCCCTATAAGGCTATTTCAGATGGCCAGTGGCACAAGTCTGTTGCAGCTGATCCACCCCACTGCTCACAGGTCCACACACCCCACCAACACACTCCTGTCTGATGTGCATGCCCTGTCCCACCAAGGCAGACCTTCCAGCCCTGCTGTAAATGTCCCACACCCTCCACCTACACAGGCCAACAAATTCCCTGCAGGCTTGCTGATGGGTGGGGCCAGTCCGTAGGGCAGGCTGCCTACCCTGGCTGAGCTGGATTAAATTGGTGGGCAGGGAAAAACTCTGGGCTAACAGGCCAGAGGAAGAAATCCAATGGTGTCTGCCAGCATCTGTGTCAGCACTCATGTACTAGGTCAGAATAATGGCTGTTGCCAGTGTCTCCTCCCTGGGGAGGTGAGCCCAGCCACCTTCTACCTCTCTGAGATGTACTCAGAGCTTATCAGATTAGTCTCTTCTACCAAAGGACTATGTGCCTTTCTTTCTGGTGATTTTGTGTTGATTTCCAGAACGGGCGAATCTGTGTTGGGGCCCTTTGCTTAAGAGCAGACTTTTCTTTCTCTTTTGTTCAGTAGCTTTTCTGGGAGCATTCCCCATTGGTTTTAATAGCCAGCAAAGCCAGGTATTAAGGCACTCATCTTGGTCGTGCTGAATTCAAAGGCATAGCTCTCCCTCTCAGATCCTCTGCTTCTGCAGGAAAAGTTTAGCATCTTAAGATTGTTCCTGGCTATGAAGCGCCATGGCTTGAATGTGGTTTTTCCCTCAGCAGACGATGTTTCTGCCTCTTCTACCTCTGTCAGTGTTGTTCCCTGTTGTCGGGGCTCTTTTTATCCAGTTTCCAGTTCTCTCTCAGAGATAATTGTTCCACAGGTAGTTGTAGATTTGTTGTGTTCATGGGAGGAGGTGAGTTCAGAGTCCTATGCCACCATCTTCCCAGCATTCCCTGAAGTTGAACATTTTAAATGCGTTTTGACTGTTTGAATTATTTAGTGAATTTCTCACATTTTTGTTTTTTCTTTTTGATTTGCCAGAGTTCTTTAAATACTGAAAAAGTATTGTCTAGTTGCGATAGATGCTGCAAATATTTTTCCCAGTTTGTGCTTTGCCTTTCAAAGTTGTTTGTGATGTCTTTTGATGAACTAAAATATTTAATTTTAAATAGACTTTATTTTTTAGAGCAGTTTTAGCTTTACAGAAAAATTGGCAGAAAGTGTAGCATTCCCATATACCTTCTCTCCCTACCCCCACTCCTCCCCTCCCTCCAGTTTCTGCTATTGTTAACATCTTGCATTAGTATGGTACATTTGTTACAATTAATGAACCAATATTGATACATTATTACTAACTGAAGTCCAAAGTTTACATTAGGGTTCACTGTTTGTATGGTACAGTTTTATGAGTTTTGACAAATGTATAATACATGTATCCAACATTTCAGTATCACACAGAATAGTTTCACTCCCATAAAAGTCCCCTGTGCTCCACCTATTCATTCTCCTGCTTTCTCCCAAGTCCCTGAAAACCACTTATCTTTTTATTATCTCTGTAGTTTTGCCTTTTCCATAATGATATATAGTTGGAATCATACTGTGTGTAGCTTTTCTAGACTGGCTTCTTTCACTTAGTAATATACATTTAAGGTTTCTCCATGGCCTTTCATAGCTTGATAGCTCATTTCTTCTTATCACTGAGTAATACTCTATTGTATGGATATACCATGACTTGTTTATCCATTCACCAATTGAAGGACATCTTGATTGCTTCCCATTTGTGGCAATTATAAATAAAGATGCTATAAACATTTGTCTGCAGGCTTTTGTGTGGACATAAGTTTTCAATTCATTTGAGTAAATACCTAAGAGCTCAGCTGCTAGACTATATGGTCAACCTGTGTTTAACTTTATAAGAAACTGCCACAGTCTCTTCCAAAGTGGCTATACGATTTTGCATTCCCACCAGCAGTGAATGAGAGTTCCTGTTGTTCCACATCGTTTCCAGCATTTGGTGTTGTGTTTTGAATTTTGGATGTGGAGTGGTATCTTATTGTTTTAATTTGCAATTTCCTAATGACATATGATATTGAGCATCTTTTCATATCATATGCTTATTTGCCATTTGTATGCCTTCTTTAGTGAATTACCTATTTAGATCTTTTGCCAATTTTGTAGAGTTGTTTATTTTCTTATTGTTGAGTTTTAAGAGTTCTTCGTATATTTTGTATATACGTCTTTTATCAAAAGTATTTGATTTTTATATAGTCAAAATAATTTATTTTCTGGCTTCTGTCTTTGATACCAGTCTTTAAAGCCTTCTCTCCCTTCAGGCTATTAACAGTCACTTGCATTTTCTTTCAGTAATTTTATGATTTCATTTTGAGAAATTTATATCTGGAAATCTCAAATTTTTCAGAAGAGATGATTTCATTTTTCCCTCCATTTAAATCCACTTAGATATAATTGCCTTGCCTACTTTTGACAAACGTGCAATGGAAAATTGGGGACTACTGATGTTCGATGAGTCATTATTGTTGCTGCAACCAGAGGATCAGCTAACAGAAAAGAAGACTGTCATCTCCTCCATTGTCTCCCATGAGATCGGACATCAGGCATGTGGTAAAATGTTTTCTCTTATTTACATGGAGATATTCTCCAGCTGCTCTACCAAAAATAGCAAAAACAAAAAATGCTGCGGTATACCAAATTTTTAAAAATTATTCAAAAAGTGGGACAGTGAGTAAAAACAAGGAAGGATGTATGTAATCAAATCCTCGGTGGATTTGAGCTATTGGGTTTGGATCATAGTGATGAGAACTTGCAGTCCATTCGAGGGTCAGGTATTTACATCCAAAGATTAACTTTTCTCCACAAAGTCCTCTTAAGAAAACGTAAGCCAAGCAGAGCTTTGATGATTTGTTTTCATTCCATCTTAAGATAAGGGATATTGTGGGGTTGACATATGGCCGAGTGGTTAAGTTCACATGCTCCTGCTTCGGCAGCCCAGGGTTTCACCAGTTCCCATCCTGGGTGTGAACCTAGCACCTTGCATCAGGCCATGCTGGGGCAGCATCCCACATAGCAGAACTAGAAGGACCTACCACTAGAAGATACAGCTATGTACTGGGGGACTTTGGGTAGAAGAAGAAGAAGAAGAAAAAGATTGGCTACAGTTGTTAGCCCAGGACCAATCTCCAAAAGAAAAAAAAGATAAGGGATATTGTAAAATGTCACTGAAAGATATCCACACTTCGTCAAGATTGTGATAAACTTGGATTTTTTTTGTTCTTTTTGGAGAGAGGTTAAAAGGATGTAGGCAATATTAGTGTCAGTGAGATGAGCAGTAATTAATCCTTGAGCTGCATCCCAAAAGGCGCTATAAAGAAGAATTCAGTTCATTAGATCTGTATGCTTTCATGTTGTGACTTCAGAAGTTAAGTTTTTTGATTTGATGGAGATTCTCACATCTGTATTTTGACCTCCACTCCATTAATACAAGTTTGTCAAGAAAGAAATCTCCAAACTGTGAAGTGATCTTCTTCTTGTGTGGGTCCGTAAGAAGTTTTGGGAAAGAGTGATTTACTGGGATTGAATAACACCCTATTACACAGTCAACACACACTTTCACAAGTTTTGAGCAGTCACCCAAAGTGTCATTTTTTGTTAGAGCCTAAGTAACATGTCATTTGGAATATAAGCGCTGTTAGTACAGCACAGTTGTTATAAGAATTTGGTTAAATACCAGGATGTGGATTTGTTAGTTTTGGAAATTATTGTGTTTTTCTTTCCTGATTCAATTCATCATCCGTTTGACAGTTTCTCTCTGTTAAGCTCAAATAGAAAATAATTATAGCTGGACCACTTAGCAGAACATATGATTATTTGAGTGATTTGTGCATAATGCACATCAAATCATGTTCTTAAAACATCATAACTTCGTCCAGCGAAATCCTGACGTAGTCTGTTTAGTGTATAAGATGCTGTAATTAGTAGGTGTTAAACGAACATTCAAGACTTCTGCTTTTTTAATTTAACATAACTTTTGGGCAAAGTGGACAGTTTAAGAAATGCTGCTTTAGCTTACCTTATTTTTGAACATCACAGTTTTAAAACAAAAATTACTCTCAATCATTGGCTGGGAAGTAATTACTTCAGAGAAATGCATCACTGATATCTCTTCATGTTAAAACAGCAACATGCTTTTTGGCATCTTCTTTTCAAGTTTTACTATTGATGGCAAATAAAGTTTAATGATGTCTTTCACCTCACATTTATTTAACATGCAATTACAGTAAATATTACTTAAATTTAAGGGAGCTCTTTTTTTTCCAATCTCCAAAAGTGGTTTGGAAACATGGTTACCATGGCTTGGTGGAACAACCTCTGGCTCAATGAGGGTTTTGCATCTTATTTTGAGTTTGAAATAATTAACCACTTCAATCCTAAATTCCCAAGAGTAAGTATTCTGTTAAATTTATTTATAATTTTTTCTCCTAATTATAAAAGTAATGCATATTCATTGTTGAAAATATATAATACAGAAAAAAATGCATGGAATATTAAATTATCTGTAATCCCAGAGATGATCAGTGTTATCTTTTGAAGTGTTTTCTTTTTCCATGGTTTTACTTATTGTAAATATTCATAAAAGTGGGACTTACGCAGAAATATGTAACATCTTTTCTACTTCATATTATATCAAAAGCATTTCCATAAATCATTAAATGATTTTTGAAAACAAGATTTTTAAGATTTTTTAAGAACCTAATGTTTTATTATATCACCTTATAAGGTATGTGTATATTATCTTTCCCTATTGTTAGATTTTAGATTATTTTAACTTATTCCTATCTAAACTAAATTTTAAAGCAGTTAAAATCAGTAGTCTATCACTTTAATGATAAGTAGTATGCTATATTATATAAGTATTGTATATTATATTTTATAAAATAGAGCTGATATTATATGCATATTATAGCTGATATTATGTTCTCCCCTCTGAAGTTCCTATCTCCCATCACCTCTCTTGCTCCGGACTGCTCTGCCTGGTGCTGTTTGCTGGCTCCTGCCTCGTCTCCCCTCCCAAGTGTTTCTAGGGCTCGATTCTTGGCCGCCTCCTCTTCTCCCTACACCCACCCGTTCAAAGAGAGTATTGATATTTGAAATGCTGATTTCCACTAGCCAGATATTCCTTACAGGCCAAATTTATTCACTTTGAAGGAGATTCTAAGATTATGTTCCTTCTATTATATCAGTAGTAAAATTTCCCTTCTTTTATGAAAGGATGGTGATAGGAGAGAGATGATATTTGTCTTGGCCCCACAGAAACTTTAAAAAAAAATGTTTTTCCATCTGTTTATGAAATCAGTTTCTGGGAAGCACTCATGTAGCAGCCTTTTAATGCCCCAGTTTCATGCCGCCCTCCCTACCCTTTGCAGACATCCTATCAAACGCCCATCACCCTGCCGTCCAGCCGCTCTGCAGTGCCTCTGCTCTTCCTCCCCTGGATTGGACATTGTTATATAGATCATGGGAATGAAGTATTGACAGGTTAAGTGACTTTCCCAAGGTCATTTGCTTGATGGAGTCAGAACTGTGATTATAACCACGTTGTCTGGGTCTAGTCTGATGATGAGGATCACGATGACGATAACAAAAGTAATACTGTATTGGTAACAACAATTTACCATTCACTGAATATTTAGGTCTTAAGTGCCAGGTGGTATGAGTTCTATACATACATCATCTTACTCAATCCTCGAAACAATCATATGAGCATAGTTGTTATTTTTTCCATTTTATAGTTGAGAAACTGAGGCATAGAAGCATTAAGTTTTTTAAGGTCTCTCAGTTATTAAACATCAGAGATGAGATTCAATTCCAGGTTTTTCTGTCTGCAAAGCCCATGCCTTTAACCACTGTGCTCTACAGAGAAAACACCTGGCAATGTAATTATTCTCAAGGAGCTAATCGGGAGTGTGTGTGTGTTCATTATATGACTCTTTTCATATATATAAACTTTATATACATACAGTAAATCTTAGTTGTCTTCAAAAGTCCTTTCCATATACTCTGTACTTACAGAATTGTTTATACCTCTTTTTTATGAAATAGAATCTACACATGGTTGGTGTCTTCTATAACTGATTTTGAATGCATTTGGTTGTATCCCAAATTAACTTTGTGCTTAGAGTCCATTAGGAAAAATTTCCATTCGCATAAAACAATTAGAGTCCCCTCTATGTTCTTAATTGAATAGAATATATTGTTAACGTTAATCAATTACCTCTCAGTGCAACTAAAATGGCTAAGATATTATCACATCTGGGAAAACTTGGTGAAAACATATTATTGGTATTTTTGAAACTAAAACGGTAAGATTAGCCCTTTTTTGTACCATTTAGTTATTTCTTTTTATCATTGGTTTCTTACTCACTCTTTTCTGTGTCTACATTTCTCAATCACTTGCAGAGCTAAGTGAATATAACCCTTGCCAGAAGAGTATCGGATCCTGGCACCTGAGAAAAAGTGCCCCAAGCTTTCTGTTTTAAAAGCTTGAGACCTGTTTCATTGATCTTTGAGAGATCAAGAACTTTGGCTTCCTTTGAACTAGGGAATCAAAGAACCATATGCAGAAACACAATTCTATTTTTTCTATTTCTTGGTCTAATTTTCAGCTGAAAGTCATTAAAACATGAAATGAATGGGTCATGGTCAAGAATTCAGAATATTAAGGACCAATTGGTTTTTTGTTCTCTGAAGCTCCAGCTCTGACATTGCCACTCACTGACTCTTCTCTATCTCTCTTCTTCTGCCTGGTCCAGGGAAGCAGCAGAGTTGGGGGAAGGGAAGGGCACATATGGACCTTGCAGCCAGTCAGATCTTGTTCTGTTTTTATGATCATTTTAAGTGGAGGCAAGCAGTTGCACACCTCTGAGCTTTAGTTCCTCATCTGTAAAATAAGTTTCGTGCAGTCATTCAACAGATTATGGAGTATCCACTAGATATCATTGTGACAACTACCATTTACTAAGCACTCGCTGTGTGCTTATAGAGTATTATAGACATTATCTGATTCAACCCTCAGAAGAAGAAGGAGGAGGAGCAAGAGGAGGAGTAAGGAGTGAGAGCGCTGGGAGGGAAAGTGGGGTGGGAGAGAAAGAGGTAATCACAGTCGTGGTTAGCCCTTATGGAGCATGTCCTATTTGCCAGGCACTGTGCTAAGAATTTTATGTAAATTAATTTAGTCCTGATAATAATCCAGTGAAGACAGTGTTCCTTCCCCCATTTTCAGATGGTGAAACTGAGTTTCAGAGAGATAAAGTTCGTTGCCTTTTATGAGTCACACAACCCCTAAGAGGCTTCAGGTAGGATTCAGACTCAGGCGACTTGAGTCCAAAGCCTGTGCTTTTAACCACAGTGACATTCCACACAAATTTATTATAATAAATACAGTTGTATTTCTTAGGATAATAATCGATTTAACAGAAATCAGTCTTGTTCTCTGGGAGATCTCACAGCTTGCAGGAAGAAAGGGATGGTGAGTGCACAGTCTCTCTTTATCCAATCACTAAATGCAGTGACTAGATAAGTTATTTTAGAAAAGCTAACATCACTTTAAGTTGTGTTTCTCTCTGGCAGAACAGCAACAGCCTGGGACAAGCATCACCTTATGTGAGGCCCAGAGTAGAAAGACCTCACGGATGTTGAGGAAGAAGTGTTTGCCTCGTTCATCACAATTACCTTGTGTGATTCGATGATACCGAGAAGGTTATGTAAAATCTTATTCCAGGCAGGTAGAAGAGAGACAGACAATCCATTCTAGGGGCAAAAACCCCACAAAATATGGAAAAGGCTATGTGTACAAAAATGTTCATTAAAACATTGTTTATAATAGCAAATAACTGGAAGCAACTTAAATGCCTAACTAATAGGGAAATGATAAAGTCAATTATGGTCCACCAACCTGATGGGGTATTATGCAGCTATGCATTTATTTATGTTAATGTTTTACTTTTGCAAAAGTTACATCTGCTGTACTTTGAAAAGAAGAAGATCATCTTTGATTTGGCCATCTTGTGTAATCACTATTAAGTTTTTGTTTATTTCCTTCCAATTTATATGTGTTTCATTTATAATGCAACAGCCATTATTAAGAATAGTTAAGAAGATGAGATAGCAAAATTTTTAAGTGAATGCTATAATTAGTAAATGAGCAGGTGTAGAGGAGGAAGAACTCTTCCTCTACCCTCTAGATTCTTCTGGCTGACCTAAGAATTAAATTGACATGAGACGGAATAACAGGAGAAAATCAAACAAATTTAATAACATGTATACATGGAAGAAACTCAGGAAAACTGAGTAGTTCACCAAAATGGCTGAAATCGCCACCTTAAATACCATCTGTAGCTAAAGACAAGGGAGGGTGTTGGGGGGTAGTGGTTTGAGACTTCAAAGAAGAGGAAGGCCATTCACGTGGAGATGGAAAAGCAAGTGTTTGGTAAACAAATGTTTGCTGGGCCATGGCCTTGCTAAGTGCCTTTCTGGCTACCACACCTAGAGTCATCTGTGATGATAGCTCCTTCCTGAGACAGGCCTTCTATTTTAAATTCTTTGAAACGGTTAGGTGGAAGGTCAAAGATTTTTTGTTCTTTTTTTTTTGAGTCTTTTGTTCTTAAAAATAATCAAGCCAAAGAGACACATTTTGGGGTGGCAAATTCTATCCCCTCCACAGGATAAAAAGTTTTTACAACTGTGAGAAATAAATAAATACATAGGAAAAAAGATTGGAAAGAACTGTACTAACATTCTAATGGTCATTATTGTAGGGGGTATTTTCTCTATTTTCTTCATGGTGCTTATATGACACATGGGTCAAAAGTGAGACACTACCAAGAACTCTTGAGTATTAAACTAGTAAAGGCCATACTTAAGAAGATCAGACTTATGCAAATGTCTCCTCTAAATCCTTGCTACTCAAATTGTGATTCTTGAACTAGCAACATCAGCATCATGTGGCAGTTTATTAGGAATACAAGCCCTAACCCAGACCAAATGAATTAGAATATGAGTTTGACAAAATCACCAGGCAATCCTTATTCACATTAAAGTTTAACATGCATTGCTCTAGATGACAGACTTTCTCATTTTTGGAAGAGCAGAGTTTGATAGTAGCCTAATCAATGGCAATAATAAATCTAAACATAATGTGCTCATAGGAGAATGTTGATTGGAACATTGGCAAATGGAAACTGGGGAGAATTTGAAAGTTTACCTGACACTGTTGAGGGTTGAGAGAGTCACTTGGGGACCCCAGAGAGAATCACTAGGGAGTTGAGGCTTCATGTGGATTATCAGGGGCTCGCGCAACTCTGCAGGGTATGAATGAGCTGTCCCTGAAGCTTCTCCCCTGCCCTTTCTTTGACTCCCATCCCACACACCTCTTGGCTATCCTTTGGTTTTCCTTCCAGCATTTCTTCAGAAAGAAACGGCCCTTGTTGTGTGTCTGAGAGAGACGGTCTTTTGGAGAGTCCTGTACTTCTCATCAAAATATAATCAATTGCCTTCTCTTAATGCATGAACTATAAACTGTAGTATCCAGTCTGTGGATTTATTTCCAGTTACAAATTATTTTATCAGCATCCTTGTGAATTTGTAAATCTGGCATGCTTTTGCTTCATACATGCCCATATAAGAGACATTGATCAATTTTAAAGGGTTACTAATGAAATTCTAGAAGATTAAAACTGTCTTGAGATGCTATTTCTTGGAGGGCCCTGTCTGGGTGGTCAGGGACCTCCTTAGGGGAAATGTAAATAGCTCTCTTGGAAACCACATTAACTTTTGTAATTGATTTTTTAAAAATTGAGTTAAAAAGGATACCAAATGGGAAGGAAAGTATCCTAGACTTTTGTTATTCAAGGAATCTTGACTTATTTGGCATATTGCAGCTCACAGAGCCCTTCTCAATTACTGTTTTTCCCCTCTTCAGTGTCAGTTATTGAAAGTTATTTTAGGAACATTGAATTTTGTGTTTCTGTGACACCTCAGCAGTTAATGGTGGCTCAATCTTTTCCTTTTAGAATGAGGTCTTTTTTACTAACATTTTATATGGTGTCCTCAAAGAAGATCACGCCCTGGTATTTAGAGCTGTATCCATGAAGGCGGAAAATTTCACAGAAACGGGTGAAATAAATGAGATTTTTGACTTATTTACTTACAACAAGGTAAAATCACTTAGATCTTTCCTTTTATTCTGCACTCTTGAAGAAAGTTGCATAAAATGGATTGTAAGGGTCATAGACTCATATGCTACTGTACAACTTTTGATACAGATAACTTTAATTTTTTTCAGTAGATGGATTTCAGAAAATGTGATTAAATTGATTTTTATCTAATAAATATTAGTCAAGCCCATATTGGGTGCTCAGTACTATCCACCATTATAAATAGCCTTAGACAGCTTGCTACTTTGAAGGCAAACACGTCTGTTTGGTGGAAATTTTTCTTGCCGTGTAATTCAATTTAAAAAAATTTGTGTACTCTGAACTCTCTATATGTAGGACATTGGCTCACCTTTTATCTACTGATTAGTGACAGTCTACTATTTTATTAGCATACTTTGGGATAACACCAACATTCGACTAAAGTGCATAATACAATCAGGAGCACAGCCCAAAATATTGCATAGCAAAATGGACTATGTCAGTATTTACATATCGAATTTTGTTCAAATAATGGACAGCTTTTTATGTCTTAGGGAGCGTCTATGGCCCGCATGCTTTCTAGTTTCCTGAGTGAGAGTCTGTTTATCAGCGCACTTAAGGTGAGTTTACAAAATCGTTACTGGAGGACAGTAAACATAAATTGCTTTGGCATGTTATTTATTTTAACCTTAACTTTTCTATTTTTCAGTCCTATTTGAAGATATTTTCTTTCTCAAATGCTGAGCAAGATGATCTATGGAGGCATTTTCAAATGGTAATTGTCCAACTTCCTGACGCATTTTCCTGAGTTGTTTTGTGTGATATAGTACAACAAAATCAGGAGGCCAGGCATGTATGGCGATGCCACAGGAAAGCAATTTTGCCTTGTTTGTGAAACTCCCTTAGGTCAGAGGTTGTTTCTTTAGTCTTCACCACAGTATTCCCAGTGCCCAGAACAGAGCCTGCACGTGTTAGATCCATAAATATGTGTTCAGTGAATGAATGAATGAGCTAAGGAACCATTCATATGGAGAGTTGAACAGAGTTCTGAATTTGGCCTAGAATATCACGCACTGGAAGTTGCTATATAAATGAGGAATAGAATAGCTATGTGGGTTTTTTTAGGAGATTGCTACCTTGAAAGATTTTGATGATAAATAACTGCTTTTGTGATGATTTTTTTAAACAGGCCATAGATGACCAGGGTAAAATTCTTTTGCCAGCAACAGTGAAAAGCATAATGGACAGTTGGACGCACCAGAGTGGTTTTCCAGTTATCACCTTAAATGTATCTACTGGCGTCATGAAACAGGAGCCATTTTATCTTGGAAAGGTTAAAAATCAGACTCTTCTAACCCACAAGTAGGTAGATTTGCTCCTCTGTGTTCACCTTCCTTGAGACTGAGCTCTGATCAAATGGAAACCAGCCTGTGGACGAGGAGCATAACCCCTGCTGGCTACACACCTTTCTGCAGAGTGACTCCGGGATGATGACTTAGTGCTGCAGGCTGGCTGTTACTGGGGTGCCGGGATGAGGTAGAGCCCCTGATGTCCTGAGCAAGGCCAGAGACCTGCATTTGTGAAGTCAAGGCAATGCCCCTCCCCTGGGATTTAGGGTAGCACTAGCAACCAAAGCTTTGGGGGTTATGTATTCCTTTTTGTCCTTCAGACAGAGGTAATGAATTACTCAGGATTCTGGGTGAGAAGCAATCGGATTGAGCCATGGATGGCCTCATGTCAGTTTAGAGAAAAGGTGATCCTGTTGCAAGGTTGTCTTCTCTTCCTTAGAAACAGAACTGAATGGTAACTGCATCCTTGGGGAATAGTTCTGTGCGTGTCTGCACATGAACATATGTGTGTATTTGTAGCCATACTTATATTAGAATTAGAGCCTTGAGATTCTGTTAGACCTGGGTTTAAATACTAACTTCACCAAAATTCAAACCTTAGGAAAGCCTTATTTAAACCTCTGAGTTTCAGTTGCCTTATCTATGAAGTAAATGTAATAACATGTGTCCCAGGGGATTGTTGTAAAAATGAAAGGAAATAATGAGTATAAAGTGGTTTAGCATGCATCTCTTTCTCCTCTTCTCTTCTCTTTCTTAACTTGTTAAATAATTTTCAGCTGTTTTCAATCCTCACATCTCATTGTAGTATCAGCACAAATGAGGAATTAATTTTCAAATACCACCACCAAAATCTTCTGGTCCTCCTACTCTTTCTTTAAAACCCCCGGGGAGAGGAACAGGAGACCTGGATGTTTCTTGTCACTATGACATTCTGTGACTTTTGAGAAGTGTGCCTTAGCTATCAGATAAACACAGAGCAAAAACTAGACCCGTGAGCAAGATTGGAGCAGACATTTGAGCAAGACTGGAGCTATTGCTGAGACTCCAAATAGTGTGTCTCTTCAGATGACGAAGCCCTCCCTGTGGTCAGCTACTTCATCTGGGTCACATCCACCAACGTGGGAAAATGTGAATAATCTGGATGATTTGCGCTGAACACTTTTCAGATGGGGAGAAAACTTGAGGTGGAAAAGCGTTATGAAATGTTTGAGGCTTTTTCTTCTTAAATTCCTCTTCCCCTCTCTTGCCACAGATGGGTTTGGATCTGTCTGCCGCATTGGAATGACCCTGGACTAAGCTTAGCTGGCTAAAATTTAATATGAATATGAATATGAATATGAATTAATATGAATAGGTCTTTAAAGCTTCAGATACAAGATAGTCTTAAGAGCTGCTTTAAGTTATAAGAGGAAGTAAATCTGTAAGACATAAGAAGAGAGAGTAAACAAGTAGCCAAAGCAAAGCTGGCTTGTAAAAATGACAGTGAATAATCCTAAGAGCAAGTCCTGCACTTCCAGAGGGAGAGACCAAAGGATTTGAGTCCGGTTGTTTTATCACCTCATTGAATATTGGCTCAGAGTTTATATTCTTATGTGTGAAAATTAACTGAATTTTTAATTTTTTTTCGATAAGTGACACATGGATTGTACCTATTCTTTGGATAAAAAATGGAACTACACAGTCTTTAGTCTGGCTAGATAATAGCAGCAGTAAGTAACAAATTTCAAAAATATCTTCGCATATCTATATGAATATAGTTTTATATATATATATATATATATATGAAGAGAGTAAAATCTTGAAATGTCTACCTTTTGAAAAGCTATCTTGTTTAAAACTAAAATATTATATCATTCTTGTTCAACATTGAGCTTTAAAGTTATAAATCAAAAGCCATTATGTGTGAAAAAAATAATTATATGGTAAGATTGGTATATATTTTAGAATTCATTTACTTTTTGTTTTCTTGGGTTTATTATTTAGAATTAAGAGGATATAGTATAAACATGTATTGAATATTTTAAAAATACACCATTTCAAACTTTTCACATGTTCCTTTGTAGAAGTATTTCCTGAAATGCAAGTTTCGGATTCTGAGCATGACTGGGTGATTTTGAATTTGAATATGACTGGATATTATAGAGTTAACTATGATAAATTAGGCTGGAAGAAATTAAATCAACAGCTTGAAAAAGATCCTAAGGTAGGGTTAATTTTTTATACCTTTTATTAAATACCATTGATAATGTGCTGTCCAGCCTTTCAGAGGTTGAACTTTCATAAACCTGGTGGTTTATAGTGGATGAGGAGAGACGCCACCCCCATTGCTGCCTCTCACCCCAAGATGTACTGGATTTTTAAATTTTTCTTAGAAAGGGGAGATTTTCGTTGAATGTATTATGTTTTTGAACATTAATCTTGCCTTCCCACAACAATTTTACCTTTCTAAGTAAAAATCAGAATACAAATTAACCATTAGTTTTGTGATCTTCGGCAAGTTACTTAAATATTTTACTTCTATTTCTTCATTTTAAAAATGGGAATAATATCATATTTTTCTTATGTATGTAATAAGACAATGTAGGTAAGCATATACTTAAAATTTCTAAGCTCATAATGGATGTGCAGTGTATGCTAGAATAGAGTTTTTAGAAATTCTCACTCTCCCTCATAGCAGAGAATTTAATTAATAAAATATCAATAATAATCCAATATCACTTTAAATTGTAAAACAACTATAAATCATTATGCAATATATAAATATTAAAATGTTGGCTAGCTCTAGTCAGTCAGATTTTAATTGGTTGAATTAAACCAAATCTCCGTTGGTGGAAATGGATGCTACCTTAGAAGTCTATCAAGTTGGCTCTGCTGTGAAGCCTGGCCCAGTTCAATGAGACTCCATGCATAAAAGCAGAGTGTTGAACTAAAAGATATCCTAGGTGTCTCTCTCTTCGAAAGTTCTCGGAGACACGCATCAGCCTTTCTAGCAGAAGAGGCAGTACGGCATTTTGGTCCAGAGCTTGGGTTCTGGGTCAAGTAGACTTGTGTTCAGATTTTTGTTCGTTTACCAGATATGTGACCTTGGGCCTCTTATTGACCAGTCATGCCTCAGTTTCCTTATCCATGTAATAATGGGTATAATAGACCTTATAATCTTATAGGTTACAAACAACCCTAAGAGCTGTTGTGAGGATTAAATAAGGTTATGTGGGTATCATGTTTAACAGAGGCCTGACAAAATTCAGGTGTTCAGAACATGTTTTGTAATTTTAAAAAATTATTATTGGGCTTTTGAATAAAGCTACAAAACCCACTTATAATAATATTTTCTTCTTAAATCTTTTCAGAGTAGCTGAATACTTATTAATTGCTAAGGGTACTCTTGGCCTTGGAAGCACTAGGTCATGCCACTACAATAGTTGTAGATTTACTTATTGAAAAACTGAGGTCAGTTATTCCTACAACATAATTGGTGAGCAAATAAAACACTTCTATTATTAATATTAATCTAGAAAATGTAAGTGCTGTTACGGCCAGAAAAGAAATGAGACTACTACCAAGGAAAGACTGGAGCTTGGCCTGGTCAGATGCTTGAAGGGATGTTGTGAAGATAAATCTTCTGGGACCACAGAAGTGGACGTGCTGGGAGGTGTTGGAGGAATGCTGTAGGGGAGTTTGGGCACCCTCAGGGCACAAGACGAGACAAAGTCCTGGGGTCTGGCAACGCCAAGGAGCTCAAACAGAAGCCTAAGGAGTTAGGTTGGCAATTGACCCCTGCCTTTCCGTGTTTCAAAGGGCTCTGTCAGTGGTTTTGTGTCAAATTAGTAAAATCTCGAGAAGACAGATGCCATTTAAAAGACTATCTGATTACTGCCAAAAATAGTGGTAAATAATATTTATTTAAGGCTTCACATGCTTCAAATTCCCCTGACAATAATTTTGACATTGTAATACAGTTTAATATATATTTCTGTTTTGGAGAAGCCTTTTAAACTTGGCTTCTTGCTTTATTTTTTAACACACTGTTTTTCAGGGAGTATTTTGGCAAAACTCTTCACCATATTTAAACCTTATGATTGGTGTCCTGAGGGATCATTTATCAAAAAACAGATATATAATAAATAAGTTATGGAAACTATCTTTAGAAATTGTTATTTCTCTGCGCATGAGATAATTCACATGAAAGTACTTTGTGAGCAGCAATGATCTTTAAATGTTGTTATTATTTTGAAAATTATTTTCTTACTAAAAATGTCTTCATCTTTTCCTGAACACGCTTGGATCTAATTTGCAGGCTATCCCTGTTATTCACAGACTGCAGTTGATCGACGATGCCTTCTCCTTGTCTAAGTGAGTACATGTTCTTCATTCATGGTTTAGAGTGGACCTGAAGAAATTTGTAAACATCATAACCTCATCACTGTAAGGATGGTTCTTTAGTATATACAGACCCTAACTTTTTAGATTAGGATCAAATTCTGTAGTTATAGTGGAATTTTATAATATATGAGTTGCTGAAATATGCAACAACGTAGATGAATCTTGAGGACATTATGCTAAGTGAAATAAGGCAGTCATAAAAAGACAAGTACTGTGTGATTCCACTTATATGAGGTACTGAAAGTAGTCCAAATCATAAAGACAGAAAGTAGAATGATGGTTGCCAAGGAGCTGGAGGGGAAGGAGCAATGAAGAGAGATTGTTTAATAGGTATAGAGTTTCAGTTTTAAAAGATGGAAAGAGTTATGGAAATGGACAGTGATGATGGTCACACAACATTATGAATATATTTAATACCACTGAGCAGTACATCTAAAAATGGTTACTATGGGGGGGCCACCCTGTGGACAAGTGTTAAGTTTGTGTGTTCTGCTTTGGCGGCCTGAGATTCACCAGTTCAGATCCTGGGCACGGGCCTAGCACTGCTCATCAGGCCATGCTGAGGCGGTGTCCTACATAGAAGCACTAGAAGGACCTACAACTAGGATATACAACTATGTACTGGGGGGGCTTTGGGAAGGAAAAAAAAAAGAGCAAGATTGGCAACAGATGTTAGCTCAGGGCCAGTCTTCCTCACCAAAAAAAAAGAGGTTAAAATGGTAAATTTTGTGTTTTGTGTATTTTGCCACAATAAAAAAAAATTGAAAAAAGCCAATTCAAAAAAGTCATATCAGGAAGAGCAATAACATCTACTGCTATTAGAAATGAAAGCCAAAAAAACAGTGTTTTTTACAACAACTTGAGAAGAAGGAATATATTCTTTCTCAAGTCAAAACTTGGCTGTCAGTTATATCAAAGTCCAATATATTTTCAGTCAAATTTACTTTGGTATAATAAGATTTAAACTGATTATGGAGAATTTTTTAAAGGATCATAAAAGAACAATAAAGATGATTCACTGTCTTAAAACAAAGCCCTTGAAGGAAAACTTTTAAAAGGATGCAGTAGAGGAGATATGAACAGAAAAAGATAATGGGGTTTCAATATTTATAGAATTATTTTTAATAGTATAGGAATCATTATTTTTAAAATCTTAATCAAGAATAAAACTTAAGTAAAATACAAGTGATTAGGCTTTTTAAAATCTGTTAAATATTAAAATGGATAAATTTAGGAAGATTGTAGAGGATGTATTCATATTTTTCTATACTGTTGGAAGTCAAGGAGATAAAGTAGCTGACGTATCAAAAAAGAAAGAGTTGCTGGAAATAAATAGACTATCAATTAAGTTTTTTTTTTTTTTTGAGGAAGATCATCCCTGAGCTAACATCTGCTGCCAATCCTCCTCTTTTTGCTGAGGAAGACTGGCCCTGAGCTAACATCCATGCCCATCTTCCTCTACTTTATATGTGGGACGCCTGCCACAGCATGGCTTGCCAAGTGGTGCCATGTCCACACCCGGGATCCAAACCAGCAAACCCTGGGTGCCAAAGTGGAACGTGCACACTTAACCACTGTGCCACTGGGCTGGCCCCTCAATTAAGATTTTGAAGTGATTTTTGTTACTCAAGGGTGATGGCTGTAGGTATAATTTTAATGAGGCTGTAATTTAGTATATTACAGAATTATTGATTTTATCTATATTGGATTTACTCAATATAAGCTATGCTTCTAAATATTTAACCAGGTAAATTAATATATGTTCAGAATTTAAATTTTCAGACAATAAAATTAAGGGGTATACATAATAAGTTATCCAATGTGCTCTCTCTTTCTTGGGCCTGTCATATTTCTTGAATGAATGTCTGCTTATGTTATCCTTCATTCTCCACTACTTTTTCCCTCTGTGACCTGCGGCACATTTCTTTGCCTCCTACTTTGCTGAAACTCCTCTCTAAGGTTAACATGACTCTGATATTGTTGACCACATCCTCCTGGAAACTTCTTTTTTTGGCTTCCTGAAACTCCAACATGCAAACCTGGTTCTCCTAATATATCTGACTTCTTCCTGCTTCTGTGAGCATCCTTAAGACCAATCATGGTTATGTTATTTTCTGCTGTCTTTCCTTTGGATAACTCATGTATTCTTATGGTTTCAGTGATCATTTTATTACATACATGTGCAGTGCCCAGCAGATATAAGTTCCTCAACAAATGTTTGTGGAAGGATATGTTGATGACTTCTAAGTCAACATCTCTCCTTGTCTCCTGTCTTCTGTTCATCCTGTGGTCATTTAAATTCAGTACCTTAAACACTGAACGTTATTTCTGTCTCTAAATCGCTCCTGCTATCAATTTCTCCCTCTCTGTCAAAAGTGCTACTATTCTTCCCATCACCCAAACTTGAAACATCAGAGATATCCTTGACTTCCTCCTCTCTCCATCTCCCAAATAGTCACCATGTCTTATCTATTCATTCTTGGGAATGTCTTTTGGATTCTCACCTTGCTTACTACCTTCACTGCTTGCATACAAAACCAAGCTTTCATCATCCTTTGCCTGGCCTATGGCATTAGCTTCCAGCCTCATTCCTTTGAATTCCATTCTGTCTTCTTTAGCACAAGGCAATGGAATTATAAGGCATCAATTTCATGATGTTACTTCAGTTGTTTAAAAACCTTCCCACCAAATGTAAACTCTTCATCTCGATATTCAAGGCTCTCCACAGATTTGATCCCCCTCATCTATTGGGCCCCACCTCTTGCTATGCACAAAAGAAACCCCCTGCCTCGGTGAGCTTGATCTGCCTATCACACTAATTCCCACTTTATCTTCTTTGTTCCAAGCTGCCTTCCCCTTTCTCTCTACCCATTTCAATCCTACCCATCCTTCATTGCCCTTCTCAAGTTTCTCCTCTAGGAGGCCTTCCCTGACTTTTTCATCACGTGCACATGTTTTCCTTCTTTGCTACTTTATTGTATTCTTTGCCTTTTCTAGGACCTTTCATTAACAGATTCTTATACGTAAGTTTCAACTCCTCACTGAAGTAATGAGCTCCTCAATGGTAGGCAGGAGTAACATCCTATGTACTAGTTTGTGTTCTTATTAGTGGTCAGCAAAGTATTAGATAAAGAATGACTTTTAATTAATATTTGTTGCATGGAAATTATACTCTCATAAGAATCATACTAAATGCACCAATACTCTATTGCTTGATAATCAGTCTAAGGTTTGGCCTGGATTTTCTATAGCCTCCAAAAATTTGGGCACTTGAACACACCAAACTGAAATGGAGGGTCTGTCAACATTGCTTGGATTCCATCTTAGAGAGAACTTTACCCTCTAGCTTCCTGATTTCACATACCTTATTGAAGTCAGGCACTGAAGCAGGGAACGAATATGGAAAGTATGCAAATTATTTAGCAAGTAAAAGTTTTTTGAGTGTACTTTTTTAAAAACCAAACAGAAACAATTATATCGAGATCGAAACAGCACTTGATTTAACCAAGTACCTTGCTGAAGAAGATGAAATCATAGTGTGGCATGCAGTTTTGTTGAATCTGGTGACCAGGGATCTTATTTCCAATGTGAACAACTATGATATATACCCATTATTAAAGGTAATTGCATTCTTTGTTGTGTGGTTTTGAAAAAAATCTTCTCTTCCTCTTTCCATGTTCTAGACAAGCATCTGTGAGACAGGTCTTTCCCAGAGTAATAGTCTATTGGTTCTGTATATATTCATTCTCTTCACAATGGCTGATTATTGTTGGAAGAAAATACCTTAGTCATAGACCTGTCTAGGAGATGAGTGTGAGTGAAGTTTGGAAAGGTACTTAATTTGTGGCAAAGTGACACTGTGTCCTGAGAAACCAGAAGTGGATGGAAATGGTATGCTTTTTTTCTTATAGAAGAAGATAGTATCTATTAGCAACTGGTTCCTTAAAAGATTGTTAGTCAAACAGCATGACTTTTAACAACTCTATATTTATAATTGAAATACTCTGATTTACAGGACCAGCACTTAAGTCCAGAGAGATATGTTCCAGAAAAAGTAAAAGTTTTGAAGCTGCTTTTGAAAGAAAGAAGAGACAAGGGGAAATTAGAATTAATGAATGAAGAAATGACATGCCATCATGTCATTATAAAAGGGGAAAATAACATAAATAACACAATATAAAAGGGGAAAAGTTCCATTATTAGATCTTAAACAGTGGTCATAAAACAGATGGCACAGGAGAATTGAAAGCAGAAGCTCATGAGCAACCCTTCAGAGAGCTGGGGGCCGCAGACAAACCGGCAAGTAGGTTAGGCAAGGATTCCAAGTGAGTTTCTGGGGCAGCCTGTAGGCAAGATCACAAATACCTTGGGTTCCATATTTTCTTTTATCTGGCGTCCTATGTGCTAATGGGCACTTACTTGAATATGGGGATGATGCCCAATAAAAGAGGCGTTTAATGTTTGTGGGGTCAGGGTGGCTTGTTGATAATATCTGATGACTGGTTCTGAGTAAAGTCAAAACTAATGTTTGTTTTTAAGAAGAATTTCTATGAATTGCATCTGGTTTATTCTTAGGAATGTACTGGTACATGTATAACTTTCATAATCTTATTATTTACCAACTGATAGCTAAATTGAAGAAACTTTATTTCAGAGTTGGGGCTTAAATTTGTCAAAGGCATAAGTCAATTCTCCTTATTTTCTTGGAGGTAGATATACTAAGATGGAAGTTTTAATGTAGAAGGTTTAATAGTTTTATATTTTTCCCTTTTTTTCTCTATTTTGAAGAAAACTGGAAATGTTTGCAGTGATAGTGAATGATAATAATAGCTAATATTTACTGAATTCTTCCTGTATGCCACGCGGTGTGCTTGTATACTTTATATTTTACAAATTACTTAGTATAAGGAAACTGAATCCAGAAAGGTTAAAAAATAAACCAGTTACACATTTAGTAACAAAGATCATTTCTGAAGAAATATCTGTCAGTTCTCTATTAATGTCTTTTCAGGCAAAGAGAAATACAGTGAAAAATTCAGTGTTGTGAACCAGAACTAACAGTATATTTTCTTTATTGTTTATAGAAGTATTTATTAAAGAGACTTATGTCAATATGGAATACTTATTCGACTATAATTCGTGAAAATGTGGCAACATTGCAAGATGACTATTTAGCTCTGTAAGTATTTTTTGAGCAACGATAATTGAATAAAATGATTCATATGAATAGATAGGCTTCCAGATTCATAAAATAAGATCTGAATACCTCTGATTCGCTGAGAGATTTTGTATGCTACTTGAGAACAGTAGCTTTGGGATCGGTGAGCTACACATATCCTAATGAGAAATAATAGTTTGAGATCTTAATTTACCTGCAAAGCACATACATGTACATACAGGAATTTATAGCTCTACATTCTCAAATCTTAGGCTACTGGTTGAAATTATAAGTTTGTCCTACTGTTGTTAAAAGGTTGTATTAAGCAAAGCCAGCTATACCAATGAATTGAAGGGCATGCGAAGGCCATGGGGAAAACGTCTCTGTATATTATTGGTGACAGCAATTCTACCATTATGCAAATATCACGAGGGAGATTGAGAGTGAAATATATCAGTCATTTGTGTATGAGCATGAGTAAGTTCTGCAAATGATTTTCACATCATTGGTTTGGTGAGGGGAATAAGTATGTTGTCGTGATGGCCTGGGAAGGGGGTGAAAGGCAAGACAGGGCTGTGGTACCACTGGCCTCCCTATGACCCAAGGTTTGTTTGTTTAGGCTGGACTTGTAGATTTAGGGAGGGAACTTGTGACCAACAATGAATGTTACAGGGATTATATTTACAGCTCTAGTCAACATCAAGCTAAAATAATTAGACCAAGCAAGAAATACCAAATCTACAAAATATGATTATACTCTCTGAAGAGTATCCTGAGAAGAGATAAATTTTAGTGCTAGGGCGTGACTGGATGGACAAAATGTCGAACAGACAAGTAGATGGAAGGCGGAGGATAGAAAGTGGTTAGGCAAGTTGTGTGAATGAATAGGAAGGCAAAAGCGTACTCAATCAGGCAGCACATACGCTAACCAGCCATATCCTTGGCTCTCCTAAAATGAATTGAAATGACCTGCTTTTTTGTAGCATCCTGGGGCCAGTTCTTCTCTTCAGAGCAACCTTGGGGAGTTGGACTGTACTTCCAGAGCACTTCATCTTGCTGCAGCCAACTTGGGATGGGTGGGGAGAGGGAGTGTGTATGTAAAGGATGCCCAGAACTGTCTCTCAGAGGGCCTCCACCCTTGGACATTCCACTTCTGCTTATCAGGAGGTCAAGGCAGGCTGGGTTGAAACTGGAGGGTGGAGCAATGGAGATTTGGCTCTTGCATTTTCTGGAAACTTATGGACAGTTTCAATTCTTTTACCTCTCACTCCAAACTCAGAGAGTGTAGGGAGACACACCTCAAGGCACTGCTTATCTGGATTTATTATCTGGATTCTTCACTGTATCCTTTTGAATTTATTTTGTTTGGAACCATAATGAGTACCCCTGCCCAGCTATAAAAACCTCTTTTTTTTTCTGGACATGATTATAATAGCCAGGAGGAGCAGAGGAAGGAACAGAAGCTCAAGCAATGAAGGCGTGTTGTCGAAGAAGAGAAATAAACCATCCTTCTTGTTTTCATGTATGGAAGAAGAACTTTATTTATTTTTTTCAAGATTTTATTTTTTCCTTTTTCTCCCCAAAGCCCCCCAGTACATAGTTGTATATTCTTCGTTGTGGGTCCTTCTAGTTGTGGCATGTGGGACGCTGCCTCAGCGTGGTTTGATGAGCAGTGCCATGTCCGCGCCCAGGATTCGAACCAATGAAACACTGGGCCGCCTGCAGCGGAGCGCGCAAACTTAACCACTCGGCCACGGGGCCAGCCCCAGAAGAACTTTATTTTTAAGTGTATTAGATCAGATACTCTAAAGTCATTTTTTTAATCCATAAGGCAATTATTATAAAACCGAGGAAAAATAAATTGATAACAGATATGGCGTGCATGTACACCCATGTGTGTTTGAGAGAGATGAAGGATGGCAGTAATTTATTTCTAACCTTCAAAAAATACCAATTTTGGGGCTGGCCCCGTGGCCGAGTGGTTAAGTTCGCGCCCTCTGCTCAGGCGGCTCAGTGTTTCGTTGGTTCGAATCCTGGGCGCGGACATGGCACTGCTCATCAAACCACGCTGAGGCAGCGTCCTACATACCACAACTAGAAGGACCCACAACGAAGAATATACAACTATGTACTGGGGGGCTTTGGGGAGAAAAAGAAAAAAAATAAAATCTTTAAAAAAAAAAAAAATACCAATCTTAGAGCTTATTTGATGCCCGAGATCCTCTCAGCAAATATTTGTCTGAATCTTAAATACGTTTGCCATCTACAAAAGCTGCTTTTTTAACAAAACTGATGTTATTGGAAGGATGTTTTAAAATACCTTTTCTTTTATGAAACACGTATTCTTGGAGGCAGAAAAAATAAATGTAGTAATGCAAGATATAATGTTTCTCTTTGACTTTATCTTCAAGAATGTCACTGGAAGAACTCTTTAGAACTGCGTGTTGGCTGGGTCTTGAAGACTGTCTTCAACTGTCAAGAGAGCTCTTCAGAAACTGGGTGACCCATCCAGAGAATGAGTAAGAGTAACATTGTAATTGCCCTTGTTTTTGCCCTGTTTCAGCACCAAAAATTTCTCTACCTTTTTGCTGCTCTCGCTCTGGGAGTGACCCTTTCATTTTCACTTGGTTAATCTCTCTCTCCTGCTATTTTTTTTCAAACACCCTTTTAAAAAAACAATTGTGTAATGTAGGTCTGTGCATAACAACAGATTAGAATTAATACACTGAATTGTCAATCAGGACCTCTCGTGGCCAGTGCTTTCCCTAATAAGCACTTATGTCTATTTTGAGTCTTATTTATGTTGTGCTTTATGCTTGTTTTTTATTGTTATATATATATATGTGCTTCAGAGCATCTCTTTCTCTGAGTTTGCAGTCTCACTGAGAGCTGAGACTAAGACTCTGTCATTTGGTGTTACTGTATTACCTTTAATATATCACCTCAGATGACAGATGGACTTTTAGGAAATGCTATAATAAGATTTGAGACCAAACTGAATTATCAACGTACACTGTTCTATTCTAACTTACTTCTCCTTTAAAACTTCTTAGTTTCTAAACTAATTTGATGATCTCTTCTGATGATATTAATGCAAATGGCAGTTCCCACAATTGCTTGTCTATTTTTTATCTTCGTATCTGAGATCTCAAACATTTTTTCTAGATTTATACTTCTAAATATATGACAACCTAGGTAAACATATAGCTTAAGTACTATGAGAAATATCATTGCATGTTATACCTTACAGAATACCTTATCCGATTAGAAATGTGATTTTATGTTATGGCATTGCCTTGGGAAATGAAAAAGAATGGGACTTTTTGCTAAGTATCTACAATAACAAAACAAAAGAAGAAGAAAGGATGCAACTTGCTTATGCAATGGGCTGCAGTAAAGATCCATGGATACTTAACAGGTAATTATTGTCAACTTACATTGAAAGTTCCTGGTGAAGGAATGCAATTAATGAACCAAAGGGAGAAAAATAAAAATGAGCTAATGTAAGAATTAATACTATACATATTTGTGCATCAGCAGCTTAGAATCATACGGAATTTTAATTCCATTTATTTAAATTAACTCTTTCTATTGGATAATTTCTACATATTCATTTTCTGCAAATGCACTTTTGCAGATATATGGAGTATGCCATTGCTACGTCTCCGTTCACCTTCAATGAGACAAATATAATCCAAGTTGTGGCGGAATCTGAAGTTGGCCGGTACATCGCAAAGGACTTTTTAGTCAACAATTGGCAAGCTGTGAGTGAAAGGTAGGAAGGAAATGTGAGACGTCTTCTTTCATTTAGGTCATTGGTTTGGTGCTAGTAGCTCAGCTTTAGTCTGGCTAGGTCACAAAAGTCCTTTGCATTGACTAGAAAAGTGATAATTTTTCCTGCATTTAGTCTCACCACAAACTGATTGTGTTCTAAAAGAGAAGAACATTTATCCTCAGTTTTGGCTGTCTGTATATGAATGGATTTGCATGGGATACTTATCTACCTCAGTTTCCTCATTGTGCCCACCAAGAATCTTGTCTTCAATTTTTTAGTATGTGTGTACATCACTCATTCATTTATTTTGTGAAATACATCACTATGTCTTTAAGAAACAACAACGCTCATTACTAACATCAGCCTGGATGCGGCTTATGTCTTTTATGTGTCATATTCCCTTTATACATCTGGGTTCCATATTTTTTAACTTTTTATGTTTCTTGCCTTTTAAAATTAAATCTGCTTACTTCTTAGCTCCTCTGTTGGATAAAACATACATTGACATGGAAAAATCAGACAGCATGTCCTTGGTGGTTGCTCTTTCTAGAACATTACCTAACCACACATTCTTCAAAGCCTAGAATAATATGTCCTACAAGTATTCACATAGAGTTAGCAAATACAAAGTAGCCAACAGTTTAGGTCCTTACACCTGTAAAATTGGAAGATACTTCCTGTAAATGAGTTTATCCCTTTAGAACAGAAAGTATGTTTAGAATATCAATGTTTAAGAATGTGAATATCATTCTTTTATAGGGAAAAATAATGGAATCTTTTTCTTTTCTAGACATTTATTGAATACCTTTAAAACAACATTTATTGAATACCTTTAAAACAACAAAAAATGTGTTTTTAAATCAGAAATTAAAAACATGTAGATAAAAGTTCATTGATACAGTATTGTTTTTTTTCTGGCTCATCAGTGGAACACATAGCTTACTTACATATTGAGAAAATTGTCCTTATCTCTTGTTTTAAATTGTCTGTCATTCTAGGTTCATTGCTTCAGAGGGCCTTATGAATTCCTTAAATTTCCTGGGATCCCTAAGACCTTGAGGGTAAATGGTGTCTTCCATTTTTGCTTAAGTCATTAAAAAGAATTCCCTCTTTCCTAGATCCTACCTCCCACTGGGAATTTTGGAGTTGGGATATAGTAAATCAGAATTATTTACACAGGTCTCCTTGTTCTTTGAGGTTTCAGAGATTCTAATCTTACAGGGTTGTAGTTTCTGCTCTCTTCTTGGAGCTTGTAACGACAGCTCTGTCCCCAAGCAGGTGAGCCTAAGCATAAACCAGACACTTCCTAATGTAGCAGAGCTTCGGAATCACCTGGAGTGGCTATAAACCTTAAGACACCCAAGCCCCCTTTAAAATCAGAATCTGCCTGAATAGGGAGGGAAATCTGTACCTTTCGCTAGCTCCCCAGGTGACTCCAGTATAGTTTAACAGAGCCAGTTGACGCTGGATTTAAAAATTATCTAAGGCTGTGCTGCTCAACATAATAGCCACTAGCTAACATGTGGATATTTACATTTAAATTTAAATTAAATTAAATTAAAATTCAGTTTCTCAGTTGCACTAAACCCATTTTAAGTGCTCCATGTGGCCAGTAGCTACCATATTGGACAGCTCAGCTAGAGAAAATTTCCATCATTGCAGAGAGTCCGACTGGACAGCACTGCTCTAAGGGGTAAACCAGCCCCTCAATTCACTTTTTCCTCTCTTCTTTTACCATACACAGAACACGTGCCAATAAGCCCCCAAAATGGCTTTCAGCAACCATGGGTAAGATTCCTCTTAATTAAGTGACTCTAAACGTGTTTTAAGTTTCATTCCTCGGAAGAACTTTTTTCTGCATTTAGAGAACAGGAACATGTTAGCAACTCTCTGAAAAGCCCACTGTCTAGCAATTTATTCAAATGATCTACAAAACTGTATTAAATAAGAGTATAGAAGGGATTCCTTTTTTAAAAAACTCTAAATGAGTGTTACGATTATCTCCAAGAAGTACCTAGTATTATAAATGCATGAACTTATAACTATGGCTTGAATATTTTTATCTTTTATCCACAGAATTCTATGCTCATAAAATAAATGCCTATTCTATTTATGGTAAATTCAGTTCACTCCTCTTGCACATTCTGCTACAAAAAGTCTTTTGGACTCAAATTTGCTTTCTTCATCTAATATTTTTATTTTTCGGGTTCAATTTATATTCACCAGTCCCGCTGAATTTTGCAAATCATTTTGTTCAAATAGGTAATCATTATTTATAGATTGTTAGAAGGAAATAAATATTAAGATTAAGAATTAAAATGTTACATACACTAAAAAATGGCACAGGAATGCTCACTTAATTCTTTATACATCAGAATATTGAATTATTACTTATTAAACAGTTACATTTGACATGAATATTTGCATGTCACCAGTCCTCATGTGATGATAAAGATAGTATCAAAGTGTAAGTAAACAAATGCTTATGACAAATTAAATTTTACATTAATTATGTGGAAAGGGTTTATTCTGAATTTGCTAAGATGTGGCTGATCACTGTCAAGTTAGCACTGAAATTAGTGTTTCTCCAATATGTTCCACTGAACGTTATTCATCGAAGCTGTTGACAAGCCTTCTTTACCAAGGGACACAATAACCCAATTAGTTTGGAAACTGTTTTAACCTCCACTTTTGCAAATTCACAGTATGTGTTAGCATCGTAAAGGCTCTAAGAAGTCCTGTAGAAGGAAATCTAGAGTTTTCCGTACACCTTGCCCAGCATCTTATAGCTGTAATCCTGTTATGTACCATAGATGGTAATGTAAACAGAGTATCATTTTCCCAGTAGATCAGTTGTTCTGGGAGAAACACGGATGAGAAACTAAATTCTCCAACCCTCTCATCTGGAACTGTAACTAGAACATCTATTTATTGTTTGCCTATTAGTTAACATTTAGGCCTTAGTTTCCTCTCTATAAAATGAAAGACATTGTATTTGATCAATTCTAAGGTTCCTTCCAGTAATAAAAAGTTTTGGTTTTTCTATGCCAAGGCACAGTTAGTTCAAGCTGTTGTTGGGGATATAAAGTGATTGGGACGTGATGTCTGATCAATGCTGGAGAGGGATTTGGGGATTGAAAGGGATTTGAACAGTCAGAGTTGGAAAAAGTCATCTACATGGAAGGCCTGAGAGGCTGCCTTGGGTCTGGTCACAGTAGCAGGCTGGAGCTGAGGACGCTGGAAAGGAGGAGAGAGGGGTGGTCAAGAGTTAGAGTTGAGTACACCGCCAATAGCAGTTCAGGAACATCTGGTCCCCTCATCCAGGCCCAGAATTCTCCTCAGGAAGCCTAATCTGAAAATACATTTTCGAATATGTGATTGAGTGAAACAACTTTGGCTTGGTCCTGCCCCTCACTCCCATGTGCAAGGCACTGCACTGGTTGCTGTGGAATAATCAGTTCATTCTTGGGCCAAAGATGATCTTTTGAGTACTGATCCCAATGAGGGAAACTCTGCAGGCCATAAAGACATCTTTCAGGTTACGGAAAAATCAGTATGTACGTACAGTTATGGATAGATCCTGTGAAAGAATGTGTGAAAAGAGATGAAGCAATAGGATTTTTTCTGACTTTTTATTGTATCTTGTAGAAAGGGTATTTGTGCTCTTATCAGCCTTGTTAAGTTGCTTCTGGCTCTCTCAAAACAACATAGCCTTCACAGCCTATAGGGAAAACCCTAGTTTTGGGTTTTTTTTGTTTTTTGGTGAGGCCCTGAACTAACATCTGTTGGCAATCTTCCTCTTTTTGCTTGAGGAAGATTGTTCCTGAGCTGACGTCTGTGCCAATCTTCCTCTATTTTGTATGTGGGATGCTGCCATAGCATGACTTGATGAGAGGTGCGTAGGTCCGCAGCGCGATCCGAACCTGCAGACCCTGGGCCACTGAAGCGGAGAGTGTAAACCTAACCACTATGCAACCACGCCAGCCCCAGGAAAACCCTAGTTTTATCTGAATATAGAAGACAAGGTATAATCACTTTCAAACTCAGCTGGTCCAAAATGAGTCTTACCGTCTTCTTGATTTCTTCTCCAAATACTGTTATATTGGCTAAACTCTCTTAAGCTTGAAAACTTGCACTCATTTTCGCTTCCACTCTGCTGTATTTCATGATGGGGAACACAGAGTTGAAAGGGCTAAACAGGAGCACAAGGGAACTAAGAGAGCTGAGAAGGTATCGGAGGGGTGTGCCCAAGCACTGGAGGGCCCATTCCCCCCAACTGTCAATGGACAAGGCTGGATGCCTTGGTGTCCCCATGTTGCCTAATGGCCATGCTTATCACAGGAAGTCAGACATGGCATAAGAAGGGCTAGGAGGGGAGGGGAAATGGGAGAAAGGAGAGAGACAGAAGGCAAGCTAAACTAGAGTACCAAAATCACTGTGCCCACACCGGCATCGAATGTTACCAATTTTTTAAGAGGGTAACTCTCCTGACACAAATTGGCTCTTGTCTTTATATTAATTAGAATGCATGTGAATACTGGTAGGATAAATTATTTGTAATGTATATGTTTTGTTCAGTAATGCTTCAGAGTGTTCTCTCTCAACAAGAGTGACAAGTCCTCTCTGTCTCACAAACATCTCCTCTTGAAGCTTGCAAGAGCGGGGGGAATGAAGTGTGCTGGCTGCTCTGATAGGTGCTTCAGCATCCATTATCTCATTTAATCTCCAGAAAAGGCTTCTAACTGTGTGTTAGTCCCCATTTTTACCATTTATAAGTTGCCCAAGGTAACTTCAAACCCCACTCTGCCTCTTGGGGTAAACTTTCTCCTGTGTCTGGTTGAAAATCACATACTTAGCAGCCTAGGTAGCTTTCTACTTTTTATTTTAAGGTTGGAATTCAATTTCTTTGCAAATTTTGCCAAACATTTTGAGTCATCTCACAGGCTTTTTATATCTGGCCAACAAAAATCGGAGGAGTAAGAAACATTTCCTCTTTCCTCATAGAAACAGGCTTGCTTGCCTGGATTACATGTAGACTGTCTCTTGTCCTCCGCTCTGCTCAAGTAGACACGACTTAAGTTACAGCTGGAAACTTAAGAACAAAAGTCCTGTTTCCTCTCATCTCTGTATGTTATGCCAAGGTTAACTCTTACAATTTTTAATTTCAAGTATACGTTTTTAAAGTAAATCAATTGTTTATTACCTATCAAGGCAGTTCAACCATTTCTTATTCGGTCCCTTATTTTATTTTCAGTCCCTGAACTCTATTTTAATTTTTCTTTCTTTTTTAATGCATCCAAAAGTCTTTACTTTTTTAACTACAGCAACGCTTTGGGCAGGTATGTATCTGCTGTTTCTTTGTAGCAATGTTTCATGGCTTTTCTTAGATGATTCTTGTTGGGTATTCAAGGACACTAACCTAAAGGGGAAGTGTCGATTACCATGTTCGTTTGAGGGACCATAAGCAGAGCCAGGTTCCTAGCCTTCAGTGATCGCCAACATTTTGAGAATCTCAGAAGATAAGGATTTTCTCTTTAAAAAGCATATACAAGTACAAAATTTTACATAAACTTTCAGGGTATTTTAGTCAGAGTTTCTGAAATTGATCTCATATTAACTGTTGTTTTTTAAGGAGCATAATTTGCATATTTACTTTCTTATAAATTTTCTTAATTTGAGGTATGTGACATCTGTTCTAACCACCTCATTTAAAGTGATAAAAACAGTTGTTATTTTTTTGAGAGCCTTTTACATTTAAATAAAACTTTAAAAACTCTGTATTATACAAATCAGTATTTAACTATAAATATTTCTTTAGTGCTAATATAATAGATTTTCTATTAAAAGATGAAGCTAAACTAGTTCATATATGTTTTTGCTTAGATCTGGGAGACAGGAATTATTAGGGGCTGCACACTTAGCATTGATCTGCTATATAAAATATAGCTTTATCTTGCAAAACATTTTCCACTCCTGATTAACATCTTGTTGCTTTGTAGGTATGGAGCACAATCGTTGGTTACTCTCATAGATATAATAGGGAGAACCATAAGTACGGATTCACAGATCGTGGAGGTAAGTACTTTAGATATTGTGAATTATAATGGTAATTTGGAAGCCCCGTTTTATGTAATTTGGAGTTGCTAAGTTTAAAAATAATATGCTTATCTGAATGATTATATTCTGTGCTCCCATTGGTGCTATTATCACTGTGCAGAAAATGTTTTTAGTTATATCTTGCTTCTGAAATAGAGACCATCCTTGTTTACAGAGGACTGGACTTTATTCCTTCTTGCCTGAGGGAAAGAATAGTAGTAGACTCTGGCCTGGGCTGCCTGCCCCAGGCTGGTCTTCCCTCCGTCCATCGTCCACATTGCTCCCAGCTGCCACCCTGCTCCCAAAGCTTTGGTAGCTCATCGTAGTTTTTAGAAGAAACTTTAAAATCTTTTCATTCTCATGTGAGGCTCTTCGTAATCTGCCCCTGCCTTGCTCTTTAGCCTCATTTTTACCCATCTCACCACCGAGTGTCAGAGAACAAGAGACACAGACACCCCCAAACACTTTTCCTCTAGTTGTACTATGCCGCTTACAGATTTTCTTAAATTATCATGCTGTGTCACATTTCCCAGGTTTCGGAAACACTCTACCTTCTGCTGGCGTGCCCTCCCCATGCCTGTCCTTTGCTGAGTAATTCCTAATCGTCCTTTATGACTTTGTTTCTAGGAATTTTTTAATTAACTGATTTGCACTCTCACCTCCTCCCTGCTCCCAAATCATCCTATGGATATCTTTATCATAGCGCTTGTCACATTATACGTAATCATGTGTGAATATGTCTACCCCCTGAGGCTATCTGATGAGTTCCTCAGGGACTGAGACCACACTTTAATCATATCTGTATCTAGAACCTAACGTGGGGCTTGCCATTTCTAGGCTCTGCTTTCCTCTGGGCTGAATTTCTTCTTAGATGGGCTTTCTCTACATGGAGGCAAGCATGGCTCCAGGCTTCCATGAGCTGGAATCCTTTCTCAGCCAGCTTCAAGTTCAGCCCTGAAGGAGGGACTCTGGTTGGTCCTACTTGGGTCACAGGCACCACCCACTGTGTCCAGGGGGAATGACATACTCTGATTGGCCTAGCCTGGGTCATGTGCCCACACTTACAGCCAGCCCCACCCAAATCACAGGCACTGGGATAGCAGAGGGGTAGTTCTGGAAAGAAAGGGGGATCCTATAACCAGAAGGTAAACTGAAGGACAAAAGTGAATGTCTACAAGAAAGCCACACACACACAAAGGAAAACAAGAGTAAAATATAAATACAACCTGTACACACTCAGTACCATAGGTAAAATTAGAAAGATTTACAATACCAAACGTTGGCAAAGATATGAGGCAACTGGAACTCTCTTATCCTCCTGGTGGGAATGTAACATGGTACAACTACTTTGTAGAACAGACAGTTTTTTAAAATGGTAATTAGTGTCGACGAAAATAATCCATAACCAATCTGTAAATGAAAATTTGGGTGAGTTTATTCTGAGCTGAAATCTGAGGACCATGGCCCGGGGTCTTTCTTCCCAAAGGAAGAAAGGGCACCGAAGAAGTGGGGTGCACAGACTGGTTATATACCCCCAAACAGGGTGTTTCACATATGATTGAAATGTCCCTCCCACAATAGTCACAAGATTGCCTTGTCGGCACAGCACTTGATGGACACAGCAGGTAGTGGGTCTGCTATCTCAGAGGGCGTAGCAGGAGGCAAGTCTGTTGTCTCGGATGGGCAGTCACAGGTGAGTGCAGCAATCACTTTCTAGCCTAAGGAAAGATACTTAATCCTTAAGGAGATGCCAATGTTGGGAGGGGGAGGGAAGTTGAACCTTTATCTCAAGGGCGTTTGTTCTTGCCATAGGGAATATCTAAAGCAGATATACAATGCATGCTCAACAGCCACGGTCAGGCCCTTTTGGAAAGACAAAGTCAGGCCGAATTAGGTTTGTACCAAATGGCTTCCTCCTGTTCTCCAATATATCCTATTGCTTGCCATTTTTATTTGTCATTAGAAACCTATGGCCTAACAATTCCACTTTTAGGTTTTTACTCAAGAGAAATGAAAACCTATGTCCACACTAAGACTTGCACATAAATGCTCATAGTAGCTTTATTCACATCAGCCAAAAACTAGAAACCATTCAAATGCCCATTAATAGGTGGATGGATAAGAAAAATGTAATTATCCACACAATGGAATACTACCCCCCAATAAAAAAAGGAACAAGATTGTGTAGCAATGTGGAAGAATCGCAAGATGATTATGCTGAGTAAAAGAAACCAGACGCATTCTAGGAAATGCAAACTAATGTGTAGTGACAAAGGGCAGATCAGTGGTTGCCTGGGACAGACGGAGGGATGGACTATACAAGGGCCTGAAGACACTTCCGTGGGTGGCAGAAATGTACTTTATCTTGACTGTGGCTGTGGCTTCACAGGTGTACACAATGGTCGAAACTCCTTGACTCGTACACTTGAAGTGGATACAGTTTAGTATGTGTAAATTGTATCTCAATAAAGTTGATTAAAATTGTTTTTAAATTACGTGAGAGCAAATTAAACACAAAGGCCTGGAACTATATTAATAAGGACAGAAAGCGCCTGTTTAAATAAGAAAGGAAACTCAACTCCTCTGCCCCAGCAAAGAAACAAATAAATGTGTAGTCATAAATGCCTGAAATTTGAGCCTGAGCAAAAAAAACAAAAAGCAGCAGCCAGTTACGTAGTTGTTATTATGAGAGAGAGGGGAGGAACCCGCATTCCTGAAGGAATCATCATTGTTTGGGTTTGGCCTGCCTCGGGCTGAGCTGCCAGGACCTGATTTATGAGGGATTCCCTGACAGGAGTGCAGGGCACACCCAGCATCTCTGGAACAAAGCTCCTAGATCCCCGACTGGGTTTGTGTTTGTATCTTCTGAAGCGCCTCCGGTCATCTTTGTCTCTACAGAACCTGGGAAAGTTTTGTTGTTGTTTAACAAGCAAATGAAGTTTGTATAAATTTAGCAATCCTCAAAGTTCCAAAACTCTATAGTCACTGATAGTTTATTAAAAAAATGCAAAAATGGCTTTAGCACTGGTTAAATTATTGCAATTTTGAAAACAAGTAAATTAGCTACTATGAATATCCTTGTCAAAAAAAGTGTTAATGCCCCACAGTCCTACTATAACATTAGAAATTCACATGCTAGTATCGATAATAATTACTACTAAAAAGGAAGATGAAAGTTGCGTGAATCCCTTCTCCCTCCATCCCAGCACAGTTTCCATACTCTCTCTGAATCTCTTGCTCTGGTCTTTATACTCCACCCCGCTGGAGCCTGGCCTCCTGCTCTCAAGCACTCATGAAGCCCCGTCTACAATCCCACAGACCGGACTCGTCTCCCACCCACTGCAGGCACAGTTGTGGGCACATGACGAGTAGTATGGGGCCGTGGGCATGTGGCTCCCACTCCATGGTGGGAGCGGGCAGGATTGGGGAGAGTGGAGGTTAGTTCCTTGTTCCTTAACCTACTTCTTCCTGGAACCTTACTTCTCTTTTACATTGTAATTAGGCTTGATAGCCCTATTACTACTTAATTTCAAGTGCATTAGAGTTTAAGTGACCTTTTTGTGAGCTGGTATGGGTACATTATCATCTTATAGTAACATGTGTTCTGAATTCTAACCCACTGACACAGAAATAGACTATTTGAATATAACTTATTAGTCACTTGGGGTCTGGCTTATATGTAATATTGTGGCAAATGTTCCCATATCTGACGCTTGACCTGACTCAATGAAGGAATTTAGCCAATGGACAAATCCACTATAAATATTCTTAAATAAAAGATAACATTTGTAAAGACACAGATAGTATGTCCAGTTTTGAGCTGTGGAAGTTGCAAAGTTTCTTTTGAGATAAGAAAATGTGTCCTTGTATCTCTCCCCACGAATCTTGTATGGTGTCCAATATGCATTCAGGAAATCCTTACTGAGCACCTGACGTGCACTGGGGATGAGAGAAGTGAATAAAACAGGTAAGTTGCCACTTCCGAGCTTCCAGTCTACATCTGATTCTTCGGGGCAGGTGTGGTCTTCAGCGCATGTTCTCAGTCACAGTCTCCCCAGGGACACACAATCTTGGGGTTCACATTTCTACTCATTCCAACCATCATCGTCCATTTGCAAAATCACGTTGCGACTTAACATGAGCGTTCTTGTTGTGTCTACACAAGAAGTTAGATGGCACCAACCGCTGGGCTCTTTGTCCTTCCAGATGCAGCAGTTTTGCAGTAACGTGTTGGAGGAGCACCAGAGGCTCTCGATTCATGCCAAGTTACAGACGATAAAGCAGGAAAATCTGGAAAAGAAGAAGCGAAATGCCAGGATAACTGCGTGGCTACGGGAAAACACATAAGTTAGCGGCTACTTCCAGCTCGCCTCTTGCATATTATAATGTAGCTTGCTCACAGTTTGGTTTTCCCACACTTTGTGAGTCTGGAAAACCACATGTTTTGTTATTTGTATTTCAGTACACTTACTACCTGTTCTTCCCTTCTTGTCACATTTGGCCCCAAGGCTCAGCCATTGCTGAGGATTTTGCCAACCCTGCTGTATTTCCGGGGAAGATTTCACTTCATGTTGGGCTATAAAACCACAGAATTTACTTTAAATGCCTGGTAAAAACAGTGGAGTATGAAATAAGTGGCTAAATGAACACATTCTTTTCTGAGGGAAATACAGATTTGCAATACTCTAAGGCTTATTTAGTTCAATATTTAAAAGCTCAATGAGCAAATAACACAACAATGTAAGGAAACAGAATCCAGAAAAATAATATTCACTAGAAGACAGCAAAGCCAAAGAAAATCAAGTTTTAAAAAGAAGGAGCAGACAATTTTATGAGCCATATTAAGTGCCCTAAAGGCAAGAAATGTGTCTTTTCCTGCCCATTTCTCTCTCCCCACAGTGGCTGCTGCATCGCACCACACTTACTGGCTACTGAACTTTATGGAGTCGCAAAAAGACTTAGGATTGTAGGATCCGTGAAGTGCCCTTGGAATCGCTGTTGTGGAGGCCAGAGTGGAGGGGAGGGCTCTGCCCTGGAGCTCGACTGTGCATTCATCTGTGGGATGGATGCTCTTTCAACCAGTTTATGAGCAAAATTAATGACGTCAACAGACCGTAGCAATTATGGGCTAATCTTCAGCACAAAGGGAAATTGTCAAATAAGTAGAAATAGAACTAAAAGGCTAACCAGAGCATAATCTTTACAGCTTTGCACTCAGGGGAGTAAGTTTGAAACGTGGTTTCATTTAGCCAAATTGAACCTACTTGTAGTCTGGACAACTTTAAAAATTTTGACCCATCACAACTTATGGAATTAGCTTAGTTTTGTTACACCCGATTAAATCAGGACAACTAAGGCACATCATCCTACCCTAGACTTTGTGTGTATATGATATAATTCTGTTTTAATTTTGATTTTGTTTTTGTAGAATGGGGGTAAAACTACAGATCTCCTATCTACCTCAGAGCGATATTGTAAAGATTAAGGAATCCGTCAATTAAAAGCCTTTAAATGTGTTATGTAAACTCATGGCAATGTGATCTAAGGTTTCCCCCTATTTCTTGTATAAGTAAATGTGGCCACAAATTAAAATGCAATACACAGTTCACTTCTGTATTCGCTTCACAAGATGCTTCGAGGGTGAGTGGGAAGCTATGGGACTTGGCCACGTGGAAAAATCATGGGTCATGGGTCAGAGTTTTCTTTAAATTTAGAAATTTAAAATTTAAGCAATAAATTATCTCCGTGTCTTCAAATTGTTATGTGTGAGATATCTCCTGCCCTTTCTTAAACATTTATTCTATATTTCCTGTACTTTCTCTGATCATCAGTCTGATCTTTCCATAGCCATGTCGCATGGCCTCTCTACTGCCTTTCTCCTCCCGTTCTTCCTGTCCTCCATTTCCACTCCCTCCCTTCTCCCTTGGGCTCTCCTGTCTTCCTTCTCCCTTTCCAGTAACCTCTGTCTTCCTTCTGCCCAATTGGCCATGTCCTCTCTCCTTGGTCTTCCTGCCCTGCTGTGTTCTCAGTCCACCAAGTGCACATGGAGGCTGAAAGTGGGCGCCTGAGCGGGCACTTGTTACCAGGTGATGCCAAACACAGGCTGATTCTACCAAAAGAGCGCGTAGGCAGGGCTCTCCAGACCATTTGTTGAAAATTAAAGTCCTGTGATATCTTAGATTCTATAGTAATTAAACAGCACTGAAAGTGTTTATCCAAAATCAATGCCCAAATATTTAATTATTAATATTTAATTAATAATCCTTCCTCAATATTAAAAAGAATTGTGAGTGATATACATTTTTCTTACATGGATGAAGCCAGTTACTCCAGATAAGCATTACATTTTATTATACCATATCTTGTACTTAGCATAAAAAGAAGTAATTGTTGATTGACTACTGTGATGGCAATAAGTCGGGCAGTGACATTAGGCAGATTCGTCTAAAAGGTGTAAGTATTTTATTAAATAAACCAGCTTATCTATTAGCACCCCAACTAGAAAACAATTTTTCTGACTCCACTAGTTTACTTTACAATGTTCATCCTAAAACATGTTAGCAAAATGTACAATGTATTTATGATTGTTTTTCCATTTGGTAATTAGAAATGAAAGTTTTCCCCACAATTTTATGCTTCTTTCCTGCTCAGATCTATTCCATGACTTTCCATTGTTGGCTTTGAGTGAGAGAACAAATGCCTTAGTCTTGAAGACTCAAGATCCTCTGTAATTTAGAGCTCGGGGGCCCAGCTGTACAGCAACTTATTCTGAAGAACAAATGAAGCGGCAAAATGAGATGAGATTTAAAAGGGAGCCATACTTGATACTGTGCTTGTTTCCTCCAGTGAATGCTATCTTTTTTCCATCCAACCTGTAGCAGGATTAATATGTCAAAAGCAAAGCCTTAAGGGGGGCTTACAAATAAGTACAACACAAAGCATTATGTGTTCCCCGTACACACAAAGAATTACGTAGCATAGCCAGCAGCTCTTGAAACCGTACCTATATGGTATTGTCTCCAGCTCAATCTTCTCTCTAATTCAACAACATTCAGCAAGGATATTCTTTGCAGCACACATATTTAGGAGTTATTTGGACTCTTCCTCTTCCCTCCTTTTATAAACAGCTCAGTCCTAGAGATGAGGCAGAGCAAGGTAGGCTCCTACACCAGTGGGAGCTGAGAGGGAGCTGTGGTGGCCTGTGACCTGGAATGGGGTGTAAGAGCTGGAGTGGGACAAAGAAGGAGTCCACACAGCAGGGAGCAGCTGGCACAGGATGTCAGAGCCCAAGAAGAGTGAGTAGGGTGACCACACAGTGCAAGGAGCCGGGTTTGGCAGGGAGAATCAGAGCCAAACAGGATAAGGAGGATGTCTATGCAGAGGGACCACCTAGCATGGGCAGTCAGAGCCCAAATAGGGTGGGATTGAGGAGTCCAAGTCCTAGTGGGTGAAGAGGAGGCCCAGACTGGGGATAGGGTGGCCCAGCATGAGGTATCAGAGCCTGAGGAGGGTGAGGAGGGCATCCACACGGGGTGGGGGAGAGGCAGAGATGGGAGCTTGGTTACTGCAGGGGTATAGATCAAATAAGAAAATATACAAATGATAATAGGACCCAGGTTTCTCACTTTTGGAGAAGGGAGTTGCCGACATTCAAAAGGAAGAAACTAGAATGAACTCTCTGTTGTTGGACTGGAATTGGAGGTATTGGTGTGAATGGTTCTCACAGTTGCCAATATACAGATAGAGTTATACATATAGATGTAAATGTGTGTTTGTAGACATATCTTGCTCTTTCTCTCTCTCTCTTTAGATATAGCTATAGGTATATGGACATAGATATAGATATACAGATACAGACACAAATACAGATACAGATAGATAGAGATACAGATGTATACATGTACCCTAGCTTTTCAACTGAGCGGGCCTGGGTGCAGCAACATCTTAATAACAATGAGCACAGCTAGTGCCCAGATCTTGGCTTCTAAATGCCATGCTCTGCTACAAGAACCAGGGCTCCTTGGAGAAATGGCTGATTTTAGGGCTGGGGCAGGAAAGGGACTATTCGAGATGGAACATCTTTTTATACCAAAAAACAAGGAAGTGTGTAAAGAATGATGGGGACATATGAAGAGGTACAAAAGCCAGCTTGAAGGGGTGCCTACTAGTCAAATCGGGCAAAATTTGAGCATCATAATAAATAAAGACAGTAATGGAATAAGATAGGGACTCATGAATCTATACCTTATATGTCTAAATAATGAAAAATTGAAATTTTGGTGAGGAAAAGACATATGCATAAGTTTAAAGTAACTTTCCACAAAATACTGAAAAATTGCAAAGGGAAAGTGAATAATTTATAGTGGAAAAAGCCGGCAGACATCACCTTAATTAATCAATGTGAATATCGTCACAGTGGGATAAATAAAAAATTTTGTTCTACTTAATAAGATGAAATGACAGAAATACAATATCACTTTTGTTATATCCCTGGAAAATCTACATAACATGAATCTAATCATGAGGAATCGTCAGACAAACTGAAATTGAGGTACATGCCCCAAGGTATCCTTCAAAGTGTCAAGGTCGTAAAAGTCAAGGGAAGATAGAGGACTGTTTTAGACTGAGGAAGATTAAAGATACATGACAACAAAATGTAACATACGATTTTGAACTGGATCCTTTTGCTATAAAGGACATTATTGGGACAATAGGAAAAATTTGAATGAAGTCTGAGAATAGGTTACTAGAAATGTATTAATTGTGAATTTTCTGACGGATGGTTGTGTTGTATTTATGTAGAAAATATCCCTGGTTATAGGAAATACACATCAAGGGGTGAATGGGGCCTAAGACGACAACTTACTCATAATGATTGAGAAAAAAAATTTTCTCCTATAATTCCAACTTTTCTATAAATTTGTGATTGAATTAAATTTTAGAATAAATGTTTTTTGATTAGAAGTGCAATGCACTTTCTTTGAAACCATTTTTTCTTTCAAACTTGGTAACGGCCACAGCCACAGCCCTGAAGTTAGCTACTCAACATTTCAGTAAGCACAAAGTACAAACACAAGTTGTCCCAAAAGACTTAATTTCTTGTTTCAGCTAATATTTTCCATCTTAAACCAGAGGGACTAAAAGATTAAAATAAAAAATTTATTACTCAAAATTAACAAATCTATATAAATGTAAAATAAATGTAAATCATTAAACTTTCAAATAAAGTTTGTTTGAAACTTGTAGGTAGGTTTGTAGCATTTATGATTCTGGAGTTATTAAAACTTAAAACGGAACTAAATCTTTTGGAAAAAACTTTATATGGATGAATGTAACCTTGAAGTCACTGTGGTAACAACTTGACCTAATCTATGCTGTAGCAATGCCTAAATAATATATTGCCATTACACACAACTAGTGATAAATGGCATCGAAGTCTAGAAGTTGTGTAGTGTACAATACCCGCTATATAGCTATGTATTCTTAAGTATTATAATCTTGATTTAATTTAAAAAACTCTGCGAGGTACATATACCAGCTGCTTTCATTATTTTCTTCCTTGGAGAAAACCTAACTAGATGAATAAAAATTATTTTGACGTGGGTGTTCTAACATGACTTCAAAATTCTAAACGGGATTTAGAGGTAAAGAGTGAAAAATTCATATATGGACTTCTGCTCTATTTTAAAAAATTAATATCCTTGGATCAGGATTTTCAAAATAATAAGTTGCAGACATTTTATAGAAAATTTTCCCACTCAAGCTGTATCCTTTCAAGTGCACTATAAGTTATTATGTTTGCTAAAAGTTTATTTTTTGAAAAAAAATCTGTTTGTGTCTGTGTGGGTATATTTAACCTGCATATGGATTGTGTATGTATAAATAGTATGTGTGTGAACACCTGCCTGTCCTAGGCTGAACTGTACATTGATTCCTTTGATTCCCATGGGAAAGAAAAAGCAGGATATTAGGTGAGATGAGTCAAAGTTCTCCTCTCTTTACTCTCTCTTGCAAACGATGCCAAGCTGCTGAAAGTGGGCTATTTTGATGACGAATCTTGGACCCTGGGAGTCCATACGCATATATCTGAAGAGTAAAATGGTGCTAAGCATGGGGTTTGCAGGAGTTTCTTCTTTTCTGTCCTCAGTGCAATGATCACCCTATCATTTATAATGGCCCTTCCATCTTAGCATATCTTACTTAGGATCAACACAGTCTGTTAGTTCCGTCAGTCCCTATGAACCTAAAGAACCTTCGTGATGCCGGGAGTCTCATTTAGCAGACTGTCCTAAGAATGCCCCGTAACAGAATAGGTGTGCTTCCTTTCAGAAAGTGTTTCTTGGACTTAGCAGCAGTGAGCAGAAAGCTTTCCTAACCACCAGCGCTGCAGCTGGTGGCTTCCGTGTTTATGAGCAGGATGAGGGTACGTATTTCTTCATGAGGTTGATGCTCTCCTTCATCTTTCTCCCACCAACACAGACCCCAAATTTTAGAGAAAATGTACTCATTTTACAATTAAGTTCAGAGAGAAGTTATCACCTACCCAACTCAAAGTAACACAATATAGTGGAGATAGATGTGGTCAGCAGGAAAAAAAACTACTACCTGTTTGTTGAGTGCCCTCTGCCTATGACAAACCGAACTACATGCTATCTACGCTTTCTCTCTCCTCAAAAGAACTCTATGAGGCAGAGTGTCCTTAGGCTCCACTCAGAAAAACAGAAACCAGACTAGCTACTTTTTTGTTTGTTTTACC